GCTGAAAAGCCAAAACATCAACCTGAAAACTCGAGTAATCTTCTTAAATAGCCGAAACAGATCGAAATTATTATATGAATGCCATGCTTGACGCTAAACCAGTTCAGAAATATTCAAACTGTCAGTTGTATACAACCGCATTTTAAGAATAATGGCTTTTTATAGCATGTGTGTCTCGGTGAAGACCAACCTAACTTTTAACCTTATGCACTGACGCTACAGATTCACAAACAAACATTCTGCTAAAGGTCAGTAGATACACTACTTCAGGATTTTCAACAGCAGCAACAGTTAAAAAGGATCGCACATGTAACTCGACGAGAACATAATGACATAATCAAGAAATTGAAGTTCCACACTACTTCAAGTACAAGGTTAGGAAGGAAACTCCGATCAAAATTGAAAAGGGCAATAACAACTACCGGATATAGAAACTAAATTTCTTGTAAAAATGGATCTCTATTTATAAAAGGCGGGATGTGTGTGTGTGTGGGTGGGTGTAACGAATGCACAGCCGCTGTTTTCGACGGATTTGCACCAAAATTTACATGCACATGCTCCAAGTTACCGGGAAGGCCAAGACCGACTTTGCATTTCCAAACTCCCATCGATAGTGGAAATAATCAATTTTTTCATGCTTCTACGGCAGTTTTTCATGTAGTATGCGACCATTTTGAACTGGCCAGAATGAGAGCCTATAACTGGCTGTCACGAATAGGCAGGAAGATTCTATTGGTCAGCGTGAGAGCCAACAGCTGATTGACACGAATGTTAACTAGCATGCTAGCATGCAAAATAAATCGATAGCTACATTCGTGACAAGTGGGAAAAATTTAAATCTGCATGGCACTTTACTCCAATTGGCTCATTCGCTTGTTTAAACTCAACGTTGATTCTGATTCCGCAGAACTGGGTTGGATGTGAAAAAGTATTTGTTGTTAACATTCTTTTTTCATTCGGTTTTTCCAGTTACGATTCCTTTTTTAAAGCTGATCGTTTTGTGTTCATTTTGTTTATTTCTTTTTTCGTAACAGATTTAATGTTTAGTATAGAGCTTAGAAAAAATTCGCAGTGCGAGATAGGCAAGAAGTAAGGCATGTAGCAACATCAGCACGGCAAAGGGCACTCCTTTAAAGGCAAGGAAGGGCAAAAATATTTTAAGTCAAGTGATAGCGATTGCTGTATGAGTCGTACGATTTTTGAATCAAGCACGGACAACGCCGGGCCATGTTGTTAGTTTAAGATAAAGATAAGACATCATTTAAAGATGAATTTAAGATTTTTAAACATTTAAAACGACAGCAGATATTTGCTGCTCGGTCAATGAATGAATGTTTTCTTTATTTCTACTGTTAATAATCATTCAGGAAATGTTGAACTGAATCTTTTATTTAATCTACGGGGGGAGTGAATTTTTCCCGTTTTGTTGACCATATCGAGGCGAGTGCAGAATTAATTTCAACTTCACACACTGCGACGCGAATGAGTCCGAACTTTTATTGTCGATGATTCCAAAACGGTAGATTTTATCAAAATTTCTATGTTATTTTCGAATTAAGCATGTATATTTACACCTAAACCGAACTATTCGGGAATTTTTTTTATTAGAAAACTGAGCGCGGGTCTTGAAATGCAAATGACCCATTCGAGGTTCCTAGTTGAAATTAGTTCTATCACTTATATCACGATATATCTTGTTTACTTCTTATATAGTACTCTGTTTACATTATTTGGACTATTGTTCTTATCCCAAGACTGAGGCCATCACCTTCCCTGCAGATGAAACAACCTTGGACTTCTTTGGAGCAGGTGAAGAGGGATTTTTCTACAGCATCGATTGTCTCTTTGTCTCTGGCTCAAAATTTTAACCCGACACTTATCATGGGTTACGACACGTACAAGGAGACTAGCGGGGCCTGATTTCGTCTGGATGTCAGATTTTTCTAATATTTTGCTAATAGTATTGTCTACTTTATTTGTAGTTAATCGCCTGTCATTCATAGCCATGTGGTGAATACAGTTGATGTTTTCCTCGGTGGAGGCAGTTAAAGGAGGTCCAGACCTTGGGTCATCTTCAATACTCTTCCTTCAAGTTCTTAAATTCAGTTGCCGACTTTTTCAATGTTGATAAAGATGGAACGTTATGTACACTATTTACATTATTCGGACTATTGTCCTCATATTGGTCGCCGTATTTATTACAACGTTTCGGCCGTTGTACGCTCCGGCCTTCTTCAGGTGGTCGGAATGTCGAACTGAATCCTTTATTTATAATCCTTTGCAAGTTCAGTTCTATTTCTTTCTTAATTAATTAAATGACTTGTGAAGACAAGTTCAGTTTTCTTTCTATCTTTCTTTCTTTCTGAAATTTCTGTAATTTTTTTTTCTTTGTAAAGGGTTCAGTTCGACATTCCAACCACCTGAAGAAGGCCGGAGCGCACAACGGCAGAACCGTTGTAATAAATACGGCGACAAAGGTGAGGACATTAGTTCGAATTTCGCTCACTGGAGTAGACTGTTCTAGTTCCACGTACCATGGCACAGTGGATAGAGGCGTTAGTTAGATCCAGTGACAGGACCCAAAGAGTGTGAATTCAATACCTGGTTAAAGCGGTGGAGAACTTGGGGAGAGGAATTAACAGGAGATAACTGACATCCATTAGACATGGCACGTGGAACTAGAACAGTCTACCCCAATGAGCGAAATAAAGGGTTCAGTTGGACATCCCAACCTCCTGAAGAAGGCCGGAGCGTACAACGGCCGAAACGTTGTGATAAACCTGGCGACAAAGATGAGGCCGAAACCTTGCAATAAATAATAATGTAAATAATGTACATAATACCTCATCTCAGAAATATAGACTGATACTTATATAGTACTGTTCTGTTATTTCTTTCCTCGTCGCCTGCCGAACTGTGGTAATAGCAACACTGATGAAAGTGCTCGAATTAACTAAATCCCTTGGTTCAGCCAGGTCTAATCTTTATGGTTAAGACCCGGCATGCTACTTACATACTAACAACCCCCCGACATTCCCTCCGCATTCCATTCGGCGAGGAGTATGTTCCACTCAAACAGCTTCTTCCCCGCGAACGACTGCCCCGTGGAACAGGTTCCCACGAAGATGTCCCTCCGATCACTACAATCTTCATGTCTAGAGTTAACCATTTATCTTTCGCTCCTATCCATATAATCTACCTCTTGACGTAAAACTCTAACTCTAGTGGCAACCGGGCCTTGTAAAGGGTCAACCTTACTATAAAAAAAAAAAATAAAGAAATAAGAATAAATAAATAAAAAGATGAGGATAATAGCCTGCATGTTTAATGTAAATAATAATTGTTCATCCACAAAAAATCCCGATATAAAATTGTTAGTTAAGTATGGCGATTATTAAAGAGATAACTTGATATCATTTGTCGAGTTCTTACACGAGAACTGTTTAAATTTTTCCAGTCCTTGATATTTTCGAGAGATTATATTTTTTGGACGAAAGAGGAAATTCCCAAGAAAAACAAAAACTGTCTTTGGAAAACAACATTGTATTTTAAGAGAACGAACGCTGTTCAAAAATCATAAAGAAAGTTGACCAAGTATAATGAGACGTCTTACTTCTGAATGTTTTTTTTTTTTACCTATATTTCATTATTATCGGGACCCCGTACACATGTTTTCATTATTGGAAAACGAACCAAAGCCAGCATGAAGGTGACAAAAATACTTAACAGAGACGTCAAAAATATTTGAAGAATAAGAAAAACATTTGAATATATATATATATATATATATATATATATATATATATATATATATATATATATGTGTGTGTGTGTGTGTGTGTGTGTGTGTGTGTGTGTGTGTGTGTGTGTGTGTGTGTGTGGGTGTAACAGCAAAATTGTCTAAATCGTGTTAATGGATAATTGCCCATCCCAAAAATGTTTAATATCTAAAAAAACAACAACAAAAAAAAAAAGGAAGAAAATACACTAAACTAATTGAGTTTTTTTTTTCGAGTTTTTCAGATAAGAGGTTTAGCCATCTTGACGCCATTTGTCGTAAGAATTACTGAAAACCCTTTGTGTTATTCATCTAGAAAGAGAACAGATTAAAATTCTTTTGTGTCAGCCCCACTATGTCTTTCCAATTGAGCGATGCTGAGAGGAAATTGACCATTCAGGCCTTCAGTAATGATACCAACATTCATACACTGGCTTTCATCTTCAAAGTTCATATTTCTAAAAACGAGGAAACAGTAGAGAGGAAAACTGGATAAGAAGGTGTTATAGACAAGCGTATGGTTGCAAGAAAGAAATACGACCACAGCAGAAATAGATTTACGTGATTTATTTCAATAGGAACGTGTGGTTTTGGGACAGCTACATTGTGGTATAGTTCATAGGCCGGCTGAAGATCTGGGTTGATCTCTCATAGTAGTTCTCGCTGGTTGGCGTCGCGCTACTGCTGCTGACCGCTCAGCCTGACCGTGACAGGTCTCTTCCCTGGCCTCCTGTTGACTCCGTTGTACTTCCGTGCAACCCCTTTTATTGCGTTTTTTTATAGCTTAACAGGCTCGGAAAACGACGTGAGTATAATTAGGAGTGAAGCATTTTTAGTGGTCGAAAAATAGAAGCACTTTAAAATATTATTTTATTTTTCGACCGGAACTCGTGCGTCGGGAATATGCGTAAACGCGTAAATACGGTCATTTTGTGACGGAGCCTTGTCCCGTTCACATCCGGCTCTCGCTCTTGAGTATGTTAGTTTATTTGCCTGCAAATCAGCCGAGATATGTCTTATTTTATTTTATAACAAAGGTCGCAACAGCAATACGGATCATCATTTCAACTTTGAGCTAAAGAAATCAATTAGAAAAGATCCAACTCAATTCATAAGACGTTTGGTACGTGAGAAAGGAGTTTCAGCTATGACAGTCCAAAGAGCAGTAAGAAAAAACACTTGAAAATGAAATTGTACGTGAAACATTTAAGGCACCTTGTTATACCAGAAATTTAGAGAGGGCTGAACATGTCATTTTCGTTTATGATGGATTACATCACGATTCTTCTGTTAAGCTTGAATCGTTGAATAGTAATTATATATAATTATAAGTAGCCTCCAATAAGGTTAGAAAAATTTGGGAGAATTCCAGTAAGATATCTTTAATCATTTCTAAGATACACCGGTTCAGATTTTATCTAACAAATGGATAAATTTGCTTTTACACGATGTAGACAATTTTGCTGTTACACGCGATATAACAAAGATGCGAACAAAAGTCCGAATAAGAAAAACATTGATACATCTCCCGTGTTCCTTCATTACATGTGTGATCATGTCTCTCCATAGCTTCCTATCCTTCGTAGCTGAAAGCAATGTTTTCTCCGTACTGTACTATATCTCCAATTTCCCTGGCATCCATTTACACAGATTCGTTAGATCACCAAAGTTAAGCAACGTCGAGCCTGGTCGGTACATAGATGGGTTACGGTTTGGAAATTCCAGGCTCTGTAAGCTTGGATGTTCGGACATTGCATTGAATAACGGCTAAGAGTTCCATATCCAGTTGGGTTCATTTTATTCATCTTTCGCCCCACAAATAAACTTTGGGATATATATGAATCCACCTATGAATTTTCTTTACAGATAATAATGGTTGCGTGATAAAAGCCTCACTAATTAACCCACAGGTAGGGGGAGAAATGTGAATTCATAAATTACATAAGTGAGTATGACGAACTCGGCCGGGATTGGAACCCGACTCTCCGATTAACTATTTCAGTCGTTATTTATTAGACCAGCCACACGTTCAAGCTTAGAGCACCTGGTAGTCCCAAGATGTCACTCAACTAGGTACTGACCAGAATCGAAGTTGCTAAATTCCAGTGATTGTACAGGAACCGGTGTTTCCATGTGATGTGACCATAAGGCTGTTGCGTGTTTTAGTACGTTGCGTGTCTGAGTTGGAAAAAGACGTGTCTCCTGGAGTACCTACAACAACAATGGAGGACTCGACATGTGAGTCCATGTGAAGAAATACAAAGAAATGACAAGAACTAATATATATGTACAAATAAATGATAATATATTAACAAGGAAGGTATACAAGTGACAATGACAATGATGTGTGCAAAAATAGTAATGTGAAAACATTTGAAGTTCAAAAGATGTGAAGTGAAAGTGCATACATGTATATCTATGTGTGTGCGTGTTTGTCTCTGTGTGTGTGTGCGTGTTTGTGTATGTGTGTGTTGGTGTATTCCTCGTTCCGAAATGGGAGACTCATTTTCCTCGAGAGACTTACATGTTGGCCTGTAAGCGGAAAATGTAAGAATAGAATAAGAAAAAATAATATCGCACTGTATTTACAGTCTGGAGACCGTCCTCTAGTAGCGTTTTCAGAAAAGTAAGTAAGTGGTGTTAACTCCATATGCCTACACTGATAGAAACGTATGATTTAATTTACAGAAAACAGCTGGTTTAATTCAAAAAATATTTCGCATCAACAAAAGAGACCTAGACAAAATTAAAGAAGACGCTGTTTTACGCTAAATAATGGAGATTGAATAAAATTGAAGAGCCTAATTCTTCATACTGACACAAGACCAATGGAATCATTCGAAGTCATTTCACATTAATAAAAACCAGTCTAATACATTTAAGGAATCCGCTTTTTACTCAAACAGAGGGAGTGTTGACAAATTTAATAAAACCGTACTTTACACGGAGAAAAGCTAGATGGGCTACCTTTAAAAAAATCTTTCCCCCTCGGAGTAGGGATGGATATGTTTTAAATAATTCGCGTTTTTGTATTAAGAAATTCCAGCAGGATACATTAAAAAAAATTCCGTTAATCGAAACGGATATTTTAATTTACAGAATCCGCTTTTTGCAGTAACATACGACAGCTGGATTAATTAAAAAATATTTAGTACCAACAGAAAACAGCTAGATAGAATTAAAAGTTGCTCTTTTACGTGAAATAATTAAATTGGATGAATTTAAATAATCTCTATTTTACACTAACAGATGACGGATAGATAAATTTAACGAATCAGATTTTTCATTAACGACCGCCTGATGATATCAGCTCTCAACTGTATGCCTGATCAGTTCGATGAGGTCAAATTGGCGGCTGGTATGAAAATGGACACACAGTCTGTTGATAACTGGTCAAATAATGGCTCAACTTGGTATCTATGATACAACCCATTACTCCTGTCTAGATAGTATGCCTGATCAGTTCGATGAGGTCAAATTGGCAGATGCTATGAAAAAGGACACACAGTCTGTTGTTAACTGGGTCAAATAATGGCTTGCTAATCTTAACGCCTCCAAAACAAAACCTCTCTCTATTAATCATCTGATAGACTCCATTCTTGATTCCATCAGAATATGGCTAATGCTAACCTCCAGGAGAGTGACTCTTTACGTCTTCTCAGGCTGAAATTCTCGTCTGACATGAAGTGGAAAGATTAAATTAAACCCATTAACAGATCTCTTGCTAAGAAAGATGGTTCACTGTGTCGTGATAGATCATGTTTCTTTTCAGAGTCTATCTTACATATTTATGAGTCTAGAATCCGGTGATGATTAGAACATCGCTGTCTCATATGGTCCGATGCTTCTGCTATATATTTAGAGGTTCTTGATAAAAGCCAAAGAAGAATCAGCAATATTATTGGTCCTGACCTGGCGTCTTGGCTCCAGTCACATTCTGACCGCCGTAAAGTTGCTCCTTTCTGCCTTTTCTATAAATACTTTCATGGTAATTGTTTAGATGAGCTCTTCTCTGTGGGTTGGCTTGTTTTTAGTAGCTTTTTTTTATTCCCATCCCCATACAATGAATTATACATATAGAGACTAGTTAGATTTTTCATAGAGACAATGAGGTATTATGGTGGATGTAGTAAGAATGTTAAGTATGAATGCGTTGTTTTGGTGTTAGGAATATTGTTCGTACGATTGGGTCAGTGTTTATGGCTAGTTAAGTTTAATGCTGACAGATGAAGACCGTTTTTTCCCCAATTTCTATTTTGGCCTTTTGTCACATTTTGTAAACAATTATAAATAAATATCGCTTTTCGCTGTGGTTTTATGTTCTTAGTTTCATAAATCGAGTTAATTTAGCCAGGGGTTGTATGCTCATTGACCCCTTTTATTTCTACCCCAACTTTCTTTAGTTTAATTCTCCTCCCCCGGTAAGTGGTCAGTGATAACTGTTCTCTGGCGGATGTGGGGGACTTATGATTGAATAAGTGTGTGTTTGGCTGAGTGGTTGGAATGAATGAATGTTTTATATTATTAAAGTCCCGCATTGATTTCATCCCGTTAACTGATGTTTCTTCGACAATTATGTTTTGGAGGGAATTATAATTACGACTATTTTATTTAATTTTTTGGTAAATCGTCTTGTATCATTTTTGTAAATACTTATCGGGGATTAAATTTTTAAATTGGTATTATATTCCCCTCCCTCCACAGACTTGAATTGAACATATAGGGATTAATTAGGATTTTCATAGAGACGTTTGGTATTCAAGTGGATGTAGTAAGTATAGTAAGGAAGAATGCGTTGCTTTGGTGTAAGGAATATTCTGGTATTTTGGGGATGGGAATTGCGGCTCGCTAATTTAATATAGAAGAATATCGTTTTTCACACTCCCTTTGATATATATATATATATATATATATATATATATATATATATATATATATATATATATATATCTGACAGGAAAACGTATATACGATTAATCACTATTTTCCTTACGAAAAACACTACGGAGAAAAAAAAAATCTTCAACTAGTATAATGTCTTGAAAATTGCATAGAAACACCAAGATAAATTGGAATCTTTCTTTTTACTTTTGGTCTATGTGGAATTATAATGTTTTGCAACTGTCCCTCTGAATGAAAAGTCTGTCGAAGTTTTGTCATTCATTTGCTTAACATCGTTTGATATATAGATATGTGGTTTGGCTAGTTTTTAATTGTTGTTTTATTCTCCTCCCCCTACCACAGACAATGAATTATACGTATGAGGACTAGTTAGGATTTTCATAGAGACAATGAGGTATTATGGTGGATGTAGCAAGAAAGCTTAGTAAGAATGTGTGGTTTTGGTGTTAGAAATATAGTGGTATGTTTGGGTCAGTGTTTGTAACTAGATAACTTTAAAGTAAATACAGAACGAGACCGTCCTTTTCCCCAGTTTCCATTTTGGCCTTTTGCCACATTTTATAAACAATTATAAATAAATATCGCTTTTCGCTGTGATTTTTTGTCCTTAGTTTCATCAATAGAGTTAATTTAACCAGGGGTTGTATGCTCATTGACCCCTTTTATTTCTGGTCCCACTTTCTTTAGTTTAATCCTCCTCCCCTACTCCGTTAGGTGGTCAGTGAGATCAGTTCCCTGGTGGATGTGGGGCCTATTTCGTTTCTTTTTTCGGGTGTGATTTTAGTGTTTGCTGTTGTATTTAAATGAGATTTCGTCGTTTCTAGGAAGGTTGACGATATATCTCCCGAAATAACTCTTTGTTCTTCGGCTTATTGCCACATCATGTTGAAACCCCTGTTCCTGCACGATGACCGAAGTTAAGCAACGTCGAACCTTGTGAATGCCAGATTCTGCAAAACTTGTAGGTGCCGGTGATGTAATGCATAATGACTCGGAAATCATCATTCGCACCGCCGTGTTCCAGTTCCCGTTGGCTTCCTTATACACACTGACGAGCATGGAACTCGGAATACATACCAAAAGATGAGAAAGGTATGAATCCATCTCTTCTCCACCCAGCTATGGGTTAATTAGTAAGGCTTGTATCACTAAAGCATTATTATCTCACCACAAAAACTTCTGACAATCTAGAAATATATTCTGGTTTTTATTAACTTTCCGTCTTCTTGAATTCCAATATGTCCTTTCCTCTATCTTCTCTATTCTCAGTGTTCTCTGTCAATTTAGCTCTCTTCAACCGCCTGTGTACTAGTGGTATTCCCGTCTAGCATGGGGTTAAAATGAGGAAAAAGATATTACCAAATTTTGCCATATAGCACGTCGATAATGCGACCACTATTCTGAGTTTCACGGCCATATCCCGTAATATATAATAATAATAATGGACTCTCCCTGTCGGTTTCGACGTATGAGGATCTGTCAGCTTATTGATTCAATTATAAAAGTTTATGCGCTAATCTTAAGTGACATTTAAGACCCGCTAGTGATTTACAAAGGAGGTCGCATATAGAGCAAGTGCGAGGATTGGGAGATGAGATCACTCTTAGATTGGTTGAGCTTTTAGATCTTGCTCTCGCTTCTTGAAGATGATGCAGACAAGCAGATTGAAAATTGCTGAGTCCACTAAAACACGTTGATCTCCATTCTACCCGCTCCAAAGCTAAGCGCTCAAGGGTGTTATGTGGTATATTGACAGCTGACAAGTTGCTTTTCAGCTTGTCTTTGTATGTTAGCCATGGGCGTCCTACATTCCTGTAGCCCTGATCTAACTGGCTGTACATTAGGATCTTAGGTATCCTGTCTTCAGACATTCTCAAGACATGACCAGTCCAGCGTAACTGAGACTGTATGATAAAAGTCTCGATTCTTCCAATATTGCACCTATTAAACAGGTCCACGTTAGATGTCCTATCTTCAAGCTTAACTCCACAGATTGCACGCAGGCAGCTTTTATGGAAAACAGCTAGCTGGCGTATATGGTACTTGTATGGAGTCCATGACTCTGAGCCATACAAAAGGATGGCAAGTACAACAGTTCTGTAAACCCGAATTTTCGTATCCAGTCGAATACCCCGCTCATTCCACAAGCGATGGAGAAGTTTGCCGAAAGCACTGGTAGACTTAGAAATCCGATGCATGATTTCATTATCTAAAGTTCCACTGTAATTGACTTTGCTACCAAGATAGGTGAAAAATTTTACATAGTTCAGGGGTTTGTCTTCTACTTTCAATGGTCTCTCTGGAAATTTGTGGACTAGTGGTTTTTGTTTCTCACGACGCAATTGCTTCGGAGTAGGACAAGGTTGGTGCACAAATTCAGTTTTCTTTATGCTAAGTGTAAGACCAAATGCTTTACATGCAGCAGAGAAACGATTTATTAGATTTTATATATATATAAATGACAATAGGAAAACTATAGTTATTGCTGACGCGTTTCGTCCATTGTGGACTTTATCAAAGCAAAAAAAAAAAAAAAAAAAAGAAACAAAATGAATTTAATTAAAGAACATAATAATGATAAGAAAAACAGAATGTTCTTATCAACTGGAGAAATGTAGAGGACGCTATTTTCATATTGTTAACTGAAAATAACGTCAGTTATTGTCACGTGTGGAGAATATTGTCATTATAACTGTGTTGGCGGATTCAACCATTTTCTTTTGATTTTACGATATTATTGTGTACGTTTCTTTGGGAGAGCAGTACTTTTTTTAAAGAAAGGTGAAATACAGAAAAAGTGCTAATGCACTAGTCATACATAGAAATAAATTCAACCATAATTTTTATTTTAAAAATGCTACACCCATAAAAAAGAAAATAACTCACTCAGAAGAAAAATTCTAGAGAGTGCCGCCATAGAATATTTCCCAAATAATAATCTACGCCCAGGCTTTTCCCCTTTTGTTGAAAATCGCTACACAGTAGCTTTCATGTGTCAGCACTAAATTGTGTCTCTTCGGGGGATGGTAAATAATTTACCTTCGCCTGAAGAGGCACTTTTAGTGTTGAATATTTGAAAGCTATTTTGTAGCGATTTTGAACATGTTTTAATCTACTATGATAAATAATATTAAGCTCTACACTGAATCGAGCCCTTTTTTAAAATTAAATATATATATATATATATATATATATATATATATATATATAACTACAGACAGTGGACTTATACTCCATTTGCTCTTATCTCATACCTGTATATATATATGTATAGAGTTGTTGTATACGAAATAAGTTCCAATAACCAACAAATACTATTCTTAAAACACACTGAATTAGCTCCATACAGAGTAAATTTGAACTTGACTAAAAATAATTGGGCTGATAATATAATTATTTATTCGAAAAACATAACATAAATATGTTATAAATCATTCTTCATTCTTTACAAAATAGCCATTTTTCCGTCCTTCATTCATTTTCCGTCCTTCCTTTCTTTCTTCCTTCCTTCCGTCCTTCATTCATTTCTTGTGTCTTAACAAGTCCTTCATTCATTCCTTTCTTCCTTCCTTTCTTTCCATCTTTTCCTTCCTTCCTGAACACCATCAATTGATAAGACCTTCCTTCCTTTCCTTCCGTCCTTCCTTTCTTTCTTCAGAAGCAAAATGGCTATTTTTGTTCTTTCTTTCCTTCCTTCCTTTCCTTCTTTCCTTATTCCTTCCATTTTTCTTTTTTCTTCCTTCTTTCCTTCCTTGATATTCCTTTTCTTCCTTCCTTTCTTTTTCTTTCTTCATATATTTTCCTTCCTTCCTTCTTTCCTTTCTTCCTTCCTTCCTTCATTTCTTTCTTTCTTTTCTTTCTTTCTTTCTTTCTTTCTTCCTTCCTTCCTTTTTTTGGATGTTTGTTTTTTCTTTCTTTATCAAGATTTTTTATGTTTGTCTTTCTTTTTTGTTTACTTATTTATTTTTCTTTAAATCTTGTTTTTCCGTTTGGATGACTTTCTTTTTATAGCTTGCAAATAAATATATATATATATATATATATTTTATCATTTTCATTGTTTTTTCTCTCTACTTCGATTCTGTCTTTCTTTATGACTTTCCAGAGCTTTTTCTTTCTGTATTTGATTTTGGACCCTGCTGCCGTTATTTAACGGCAGCAGTCCAGGAACCCAGAGAAGTCAAGTCAGAAATTTGATCTAGAGATTGGCTGAGATTTCGCTATATTTTCAAATAGAATTCACACTTCTTTCTCGTGATTACTCGCTTGGAAAAAACCTTGGATAGCTCGTTGCAGAGAAAGATCGTTAACCGAGGAAAAACGAGGAATAGAAAGAACCAAGAACATTAAACCAAAGGGAAAACAATGGCCAGTGTCACAAGCACGAGTAAAAGACTCTAAAGTGCTCAATACACGTAGTCCTAAACGGATTCAGAGACTGGATTTAAACCTAAATAGGTTTGCCTGACTGTATATATATATATATATATATATATATATATATATTATTACTATAAAAAATCTAACATGTATTGTCAAATGACGTTTTGGATTTAAATTGAATAACCGTATTACCAATTGTTTACTATATTATTAGTATAAATTATTTTAAATATAAATCGTATTTTAAAGATAAATTATAACATTATTTATTTATTTGTTTTGAATTACTTGGTTTTTATTTGGTTATTCTAGCTTTTGTCATTCATTCGTTTGTTAATTTGGAAACCGATAAGACACCGATTTCATCCCGGAAATTTTCTTAAAAAAATAATTATATCCACAATTGAGCACTCTTTTAAGAATAGTAATATATATATATATATATATATATATATATATATATATATATAACTTATATATATATATATATATATATATATAGCTCAAACCTATATCTGCATTGCGCAAAATTTCAGGATTCGAAAAAAATTCAGGTAAGATCACCGACATTAACCAACATTGAGGCTGGTCAGTATCTTTTTATTTCTACCCGATAGAAAAGACCTGATAATCGAAAGACTTTTTTATATATATATAAACAAACCCTCATATTTGACGAAAAGGAGATTAACGAAAATTTTGTGTAAATGAGCTTAAAAATAAAATTACTTAGATCTCATCTGAAGTTGTAATTCTTTCGACGCATGTGTCTAATAAATCCTAACTCTGATTTCGCGTATTGGATCAGTAGCTAATTATTTATAATTTGTTGTCAAAACCACGGGCAGATGTAAGAAACAAAGCATTTAACAAATCACTAAATTACTTCAACCAGCGCTTTTATCCACTGGGTATTATGGGAAATTATGACAAAAAAAAAAAAATCAAAACTCCGAACAATGTAAATACTGGTAAAACAATGACGGTGAATTATGACAGAATATACCTGAAATAAACATGGAACCAATTTTCTTTGACTTTAAATTTCCTTTGACAGACTAACTGAAAAAAAATCTATAAGAGTGTAACTTTCGAAGAACAATAAATCAACCGGTAACCTAAGGGAACTTAGACTTCAGACATCTGGTTTGATTTCGGTTCATCTACGTATCTTGAAATTTATTTCTTTTTTATACTCGTATCTTCTTAATGTTTCATTTTGTTTAAGTTATTTTTCCGTTTGATTGAATTTTGGTTTTCTTCCATTAGAAATCCATCTTTTTCTAATTCTTTCTTTTATTCTTTGTCTTATTCACTTTTTTGTTTTGCATTTTGATCTTTCTTTTTCCGTTCATATATATTTATCTCTTTGTCTTTCCTTCTTTCTCAATTCATATATATTTATCTCTTTGTCTTTCCTTCTTTCTCAATTCATATATATTTATCTCTTTGTCTTTCCTTCTTTCTCAATTCATATATATTTATCTCGTGGTCTTTCCTTCTTTCTCAATTCATATATATTTATCTCTTTGTCTTTCCTTCTTTCTCAATTCATATATATTTATCTCTTTGTCTTTCCTTCTTTCTCAATTCATATATATTTATCTCTTTGTCTTTGATCTTTTCTCAATTCATATATATTTATCTCTTTGTCTTTCCTTCTTTCTGCGTTCATATATATTTATCTCTTCGTCTTTCCTTCTTTCACAGTTCAATTATATTTATCTCGTGGTCTTTACTTCTTTCTGCGTTCATATATATTTATCTCTTTGTCTATCCTTCTTTCTCACTTCATACACATTTATCTCTTTGTCTTTCCTTCTTCCTCCGTTCATATACATTTATCTCTTTGTCTTTCTTTCTCAGTTTCAATATATTTATCTCTTTGTCTTTCCTTCTTTCTCAGTTCATATATATTTGTTTTCAGGTCGGTAAATGTAGTTAATACTGTTTATTACAAACTGGACATTTACTTAAATGTTTAAATCTATAAAAATTTATAAAAATAACATATAAAAAATATATATATATCAAAATATTTGTCGGACTTAGTCCCTTTCATAATATATTATATCATTTGTTTACGTTAAGATACACTTCGATCAGATATGAGCTTTCGAGGGATATCACGAGAAATTTGGCGTTTAAAAAACAATAATTTGTCTTTACTAACCAGACGCTTTCTTTGCTTTGAAAGAAAGAAAAACAAAGCACATATATTTATCTCTTTGGTATAGTACGTCAGGCTATATGACGATTCCGTTTAGGATACAGGATCGATTCCTGTCGGCTGACACATATCTTCTTTGAAATTTCTCGGACATTCAGGCCGGTATATATATATATATATATATAAATATATATATATATATTATAAATTAATTGATTTAAAATATGTTTTTTCCGCTACACAGTTCTAACCATGTTTCAAAAATGGAAGCTAAAAGCCACGAATTTAATTTTGCAATTAAATTAAAGACATTAGTTCCATTTCATCCTCAAGCGAAATTGGAGTAACTTTTAAAATTACTGGGTTTTAAAGCCACAGCTAAAATTACGTTTCCATGGTTACAGATAAATCTACTTCAACTGGACAAGGGGTTTCTGGGTTTTCCTTATATCTGCATCATTGTATCGGTTATTAGTTACATTTTGGTAAGGGGTAGGGATGTATTTTTCAATGAAAACTGACATCCGTTGAATTCATGTTGTCTGGACTTTTTAAAAATTTATTGTTAACGGCAAAAACATTCTTACGGCATTTTTTTCTATTTGTAAATTTAAAGATTTTCGCGGGTATTCAGATTAGAATACTTTTTATTTAACTACGATTTGAAATATTTTCATTTTTAATTTTTATTATACTATATTTTTTTAAGAACAGTTAAATGTATTAGAATCCCTTATAGTATGTAGAATTATTTTTACATCAAGTATAAAGTATGCATATTAGGTTACATTTTTTTTAATATTATTTAAGTAAAATTTATGACAATGACGACAATATATATATATATATATATATATATATATATATATATATATATATATATATATATATTTGAATATGTTTTTAACAGTAGAAAACGTATTATGTCATTAAAGACATGGAATTTTTTACTATAGACCATGATAAATTTTAAAATAAAAACACAAACACAAGTCGACCGGTTTCGTTCTGTTTCGTCAGAACTGTAAACGGGGAAATAAATTATGAGAATATAGTGGATCACTTGATAAATAATCCGACCTGTGCTTTGGATTTTAGTGTGAGCTGGTTCTCTGTTATGGTCAGAGCACACTCGTTGTTTCATCTGAAGATATTGCATACGACGTTCATCAGGTCCAGGCGACCCGCCAATTGTAAACAAAGAGACTGTTTGCTTGGGCTTGACCTGTTATGTCTCTAGCATCTTTGGTGTTATAACTTTTATTATTATATTTTTTTCCCTGTCCATTCATTCACGTCATCCGTGGCAGACTTTCTTCTCATAATTTGTTTCCCCGTTTAAAGTTCTGACGAAAGGGAACGAAACCGGTCGACTTGTGTTTGTGTTTTGTTTTAAAATTTATCATGGCCTATAGTAAAAAAATTATTGCCTTTAATTATATATATATATATATATATATATAAATATAGATAACTAGACTCGTTTCGAAAAACCTCGAATTTTTGATTTGCTAATCAAATCAATCTCGAGGGAAAAAAGGTTTTAAAAAAGAAAGAGCTACAAACATGGACTTCTGCCGACAAAAAAAAATCGCACAGATGCAGGTCTGAAGCCCAAAGAAAAAAACCCGATACGAGTAACAACTAACTAACAAAAGAGCTCAATACAACCGTAGAAAGAGACCTAGATACACCTAGTGAGTTAGACAAACCTACCTAGGTTTCACCTAAACGGATCGTCAGGGAAAGTTTGGCAAACTTTCCTGACGATCCGTTTAGGTGAAACCTAGGTAGGTTTGTCTGGCTCACTAGGTGCATCTATCTATATATATATATATATATATATATATATATATATATATATAATGTCAACCACAGTCAGACTGTTTCGCAGCTCATCAGTGTGGCTAGACATCCGGTTGCCTCTAACTAGGATCGAAACCCGACTGAATTGGCGTTAGTCGGAGATTCTAACCATTAAGCCGTTGGATTTTAGCATATTTATTTTTAGAAACACGCCCAGTGACCGACAGTGACTCAATTATATATATATGAATGTGTGTGTGTGTGTAGCACGTATATGCAGGTTGACCCATAATGATGGGAAGCGTTTAAATGCAAGTATATTGAATTATAAATATGAGATTTGAATATTACATGCGTGAGATAGTCCCGACCAAGAAGTGAACATGTACAAGCTCGCTCTCTCAAACACAGATATTATGCAGGTCCACTGTCAGCAAGCGATATCAGATACTTGTAGGAATTAGTAAAATCTTAGATAATATGTTGAACTCTTGTCTATCAATTATGTAATTGTTGTAGAGTAGTTTCACAGTGGAGGCTTGTATTTCACTAAGTCGGTCCTAAAATAGGTTCGACGTACAAAACGTTAAGAACTTGATATAATAGGTAATGATGCAGTAATCTAGCTGTGGTGGCTGATACTTTAATATCCGACTAACGGTCGTCCGACATCGACTGACTGACCAACTCACTGCGCGACTGGCGACTGCTACTACTCCTACTTATTATACGTGGGAGAGTCTATTAACTATAGAATAGGTGTGTTCCACTATAACAGTAATAAATATATAGTATACAGTGTGGTGCATAATTATATGGCCAGCATAATTTTATCTTTAATCTTTAGCAATTTTCTGGCTCCATATTCCTCTCTCTTTGATAGAATGTAGTTAATAACTGTTTTTGAACGCTCAATTCTAACGTCACTTTCTCTACTGCTCAAATTTTAATTTTGAGTGAGATTATTTGACCGTTTTCAAATTCACTTAATCTTGTACCCAAAGGCATAGTTTATGTTAATTTTGTTATGCGCAAATGCTGGTGAATTATTAATAATAATTTGTAAAATTTTTAAGCAATTGTTGATTTAAATTATTTTAACTTTCAGTGCTAATTTTTAAAATGGGCATATAATTATGCATCAATCGTTTTTCGAGTTTTTGAATAATTTTACAGTACCTGATTTTCTACTCATAGTAATTATTTGAAACTCTCACGTTATTAATATTATATAATAATATAGAAAATATTTAAAAAATATCTCAATTGTTAAAGTTTGACGATAAAATTCAGCTGGCCTGATAATTATGCACTACACTGTATATATATATATATATATATATATATATATATATATATATATATATATATATTAATTGATTTAAAATATGGTTTTATAATATTAATGCTCTGTCAATTTATATTGAGCACTATTTTGTAAAAATAAAAATATCTGTAAGAACACCGAATTATATATCTTACTGTTTCTTTTATTTATATATATATATATATATATATATATATATATATATATATATATAAAACCATGATAAAACGCTTCCCAAAAAGCCTTTCCAGTTTGTCATATTTTCTAAATACTGCTTGTTGATATACAGGGTGTCTATAAAGTTCGTGTGCACTTTAAAAATTATAACTTTATTTGTATTTGCGATAGAAATAATTTATAAAAAGGATTAAAAAGAAGTAAATCTATATTTTTTTAAGGTTTTATTGACATTTTATTTAAGTTTCCACATGTCCTCCATCATTAGCAATACAAAGGGTAATACGATTTTGCAGTTCACGGAAAACATTTGCCAACTGGTTTGCAGTAAGGCCTGAAATCACATTAGTTATTTTAGCTATACTTAAAACTAGGTACATTAAACTTTATAACATTTTTTACAGATTATTTCTATCGCAAATACAAATAAAGTTATAATTTTTTTTTTTTAAGTGCATACGAACTTATGGACACCCTGTATATAGAAAAATATAAATCATGATAATTTACCTTCATCAGTTACGACGATTGACCTATAACTGTGCCACACCTCGTGCAACACACGCTCACTGAGTTAGGGGTGTAGTGGGTGATGAGCAAAAGAAACAAATTGCCATCTAGGAATTAAGAGTACTTTAAAATTTTTGAGGGTAACAAAACGCACCATATCACTAAAGAAGGGTTAAATGTTTGGTTGCAGTTGTTTTTCGGTTAGCAATCTTTATTTTTTGTCTCCAATTGTAACCACAGGTAGAAAGCTTTCTTTCTTTTTTTGAATAGCAAATTAATTCTTACTTCAATTTTATTACTTTCATCATCTACGACACCAGTTGCTCATTGAAGATACCCACCAACAACAGATAATTATTTTGTTTTCGTAGAGAAAGCAGCTCAGCGCCAGATTGGTAAAATGTCGTCTGTCTCGAAAGTACATTAAAATTATTCATGCGGACATTCATCATTAACTTAAGGTTTATGGAGACCAAGCGGTGGATATGAGCACAGACAGTGGGCAATGAGTTACAGACAGTGGTGACAATAAAAGGAAGCGTGTTCGAATTCCGGTCGAGTTCGTTACATGCACTTGCGTGCAAATAACCCTGGAAACAGTATAAATCTGTTTTTTTTCTCCACACTATGCTTAAATATCAGGACTTGTATCTGAAATAATCTTCGTTATCACTGAAAATTGTTAATATAATATTCATTAGAAAGAAAAAAAATATTCTTGTAGTTAAATGTAAATATGTTTCAGGTTTAAATATCCGACAGAAGGTTGATAAACCGTAAAAAACAAATAAAAATATTCATCTCCTAAAATGTTTTTCTCTTATGTACCCTTTCTTATTTTCTTTATCACTCTCTCTTTTAACTGGCAAATACCTTCTCCTTTTTAATGTTGAACTAGCTTTAAATTCAACCGCCACTTCTCCTCTAGCAGTTTCTTTTCTCACCCG